AACAAAAATATATATCAACATATGTGTCAACACATAGATACATATACGAATCCCTACAGAATGTGTCTACTCTGGGCATGGCTTTGAGACATCAAGTCAGAGTTTCAGGTGCTGGGCGGGCATAGTTTCGCGTTTGGGTTTGGAGTTAGTGGTATGGTTATTGCCTCCCACTTGATTCAGTGCATACAGCTTGCTCTGTTGCGTTTGTATGACTAGTTTTGTATGTTGTGTCTACACTAGATATATAATCAATATATCAATATACGTACATGTATTGGTAAATGTAGGTGTATTCTGTCTACAAGAAAGTGTACTTGTTGTGTTCGTTTGGTGATGCATCGGTCGGGCTTAATCACGGACAGGTATTCTACTGCAAAAGTGGAGGCAGATCATTCATATTCGCGCACCCAATGCTTTAAGGTCAGCGTGTCTATTGATGACCCCTATAGCGGTTTATGTCTTAGGGTTTAGGGTTTAGGGTTTAGGGTTTGGGGATCATTGATGCATTTAGTACCAAACGACGTCAGCCGTAATGTGCTATCCTACCACACGCCATTTAATACACGCGGGTGCAGCGCATGCCTGTGCGAATCCACCCACAAACAAAGCTACTGAGCTTCATTTGGCTTGATACTTCTGTCGTACTCGCATCTCTATTTGTGTGGATTGGATTGAGCTACTGAGCTTCATTCGGCTTGGTACTTCTGTCGTACTCGCATCTCTATTTGTGTGGATTGGATTGAGCTACTGAGCTTCATTCGGCTTGGTACTTCTTTCGCACTCACATCTCTATTTGTGTGGATTGAATTGGGTTGCTGAGCTCATTCGGGTTTGTACTTATTTCGCACTCACATCTCTATTTGTGTGGATTGGATTTATGACAGCGGAGGCTATGGCGTACACCCGCCACATCGTTAAGCTCTATATCATGATCAACATGGACAACGAGTCAGAGGTATAGTACACCCAGCCTTTTGATGGACGAATGCGTGTATGCGCACACACTGCACGCGTAATCATTACTTGCAAGACCTAGTTGACGCGTAATACATCACCTGCAAGACCTAGTTAGTTGATATGTGAATAGCTTCTACGGCACTTACTGGGATATGTTTTCATGTCATTACCTGCAAGATCTAGTTGATATGTGAATAGCTTCTACGGTATTTAGTGGGTTATGTTTTCATGTCATTACCTACAAGACCTAGTTGATATGTGAATAGCTTCTACGGCACTTGATGGGTTATGTTTTTGTGTCAG